GGTTAAACCTCATTAAGGAAGTAAGAAACATGGGTGTCGAATCATTTAATTTGTCAAGCCTTTTGAAAAAGCATGCAGAACAAGGTAAAATATATGGTGCTATTATTAAATACATTAAAGAAATAGGATTAATCAGGAGAATTTAGGATTTAAAAAAAAAAATATATATATATATATTTAAATATGTCACATATGTACATTATACATTACATTTACATTTGTGCATTTTATCCAAAATGACACTGCATTCAGGGTGTACATATTAGCAATTCCTTCATTCCCTAGGAATGGAACCCATGACATTGGCGTTGCTAGCACCATTCTCTACACTTTGAGCTACAGGGATAAAATTATAAGGTTTTTATGACAGGTGCAGTTACACATAGACAAAATTATCTGCATTTTAATCACAAATATGCTAGGAGAAACAGCTAAATCAATAAACTCACATCGTCATAGGGCAAACAAAATCTATTTATATTTATATTTTAATTCTACTTTATCTATATTTATCTTCTCTTTTTTTATTAAAAAAAACAACAAAAAAACACTAGCTTTCTATTTTTTCTATTCTATCTACTTGTTTTTCTTTGTGTGTGTGTATTAATACATAATATGGTATAAAATATTTATGGCCAGTACATTTTCTTATTTCACTTGCCAAAAAAGTCATTTTGGGCCCTGAACGAAAATGTGTGACAACAATGAGTGTAGAATAAAACCAACAGGGAGTCAGATATGGAGCTTACCGATTTAATGAGACGATCCAAGTCTTCCACTTCGAATGTATATGGATTCATGTGATTCAGATGTTCAAACTGTTTCAGAAGTGCTTTGTGGTCCACTGTCATACCTTTAGGGAAATTAAGAGCATCTCATTTTTCATTTACGTTTCTTGTCTTTGCAGCAGGCCAGAGTTACAGCTTTATAAAGTAAACTGTGATATGGGGAGTTTGATGAATGACACTCTCAGATACAACATTCCATATCCTTGGAAAATCTGTGCTCTGTGAGCCTGGCGATGGTAAATGAAACAAAGAAACAAGATGGTGGAGGACATTTCACAATATGCTCTAGTGCAAATGTGAGCCACAAAACAATAACAGAAACAAGTTTGCTTGTAAAGGGCTGCCTTTGATACCTTTTTCTCCATTCATGTCTTGTTTGACTTTGATTAGGGTACGCAGTCTGTTCACTTCTTGCCTCTTTAGCTCATCAAGTTTAGTACGCACGTGATGGCTGACAAAGTCCAACTCTTTAGCCAGTTTCCCTTGCTGTTTTCACCAAACGGAGAATGAGAGGTAAGCAATGGGGTATTTAGATAATCTGATTAAGCCTCTGCAAAGTAGAATTGGGAAGTAAAGCAGTGCAATACCTTGATGTCTTCCATGTCTGTGTTATGAAGTTTCTCTCTGAAATGTGGGTCCTTTTCCAGGAAATCAATAACCTCTCTGAGATATCGATCATAGTGCAATCCAGTGTCCTAAATGAATTTAAATGAGATGTACAGAGTGAAGTGAGGAAAAAACACTAGGTGGACTAAATATTTTTAAACCTATGTGTTAAGGAACATTTGCAAAAGGCCAAGCAATCAGAGTTAGTCTATGTATGTTGAATACTCCTTTCTCCTTTTATGGCACAGCTTATTATAAGCATCACGTTATATGTGATGCTTGCTTACCAAACCTGTCTGAAGTTTTCACACTACATATTAGAGAGAAGCATCACACCCATTTTAACCCTAGACTAACATGTCTCTATTAGTATAAAGGCATGCGTTCATAAGTTGTTAAAAAAAATCATATTACTACTTACTACACTTTCGGGTGGCTCTAGATCCTCTACTGGAGGGCTCACTTTAGTCTTATCCACAGCAACTGGCAGTGCATCCAAACAAGCCCACAGACACAGTATCAAGCAGAAGTGTGATGGTCCCCACATCTGTGAAAGGACAAGAACATCACCACTGTCATTTCTGATATAGATAACCATCTAGATGGAATTTCTGCATGTGCGTAAATTATCTATTAATTATTATTATTATTAATTATTTATGTTACTTTATGATAGAATTATATCTTAAATGATCTATAAATATATAGTTATCGCTTTAAACAAATATGTAATTTATTATATGTTTTAATAATAATGATAATATTTAATATTATATATTAATATTACTTACTTTTATATTATATTATTAATATATATATAGTAATATTATATATTATTATTGTTGTTATTAGAATCAAATATAACTTATGAGTGAATCTACACACATATGTGTATAAAGGCCTTTATATATATATACTAAAGAGCGATAAGTATATAGTTCTAGATAACATTTCATACAAACTAAAATACAAGTACAAATTATGGCTATTTGTTTTTAAAGGAAACTTCTTATAACCACAGCGTGACGTCACTGGCACGTGTAAAATAAACCTCGTCAATCCCTGTCACAAGGAACACATCATTTTAATTACGAAGTAAATAAATACAAATTAGCCGTTCAGACTGAAATTATATCGGCGATGTACAACACATTAGGTACTAAATTACGTTATTTTCTGAAATTTTCTTTGAACACAAAAATATATTACTCTACCATATGGCTTTAATTATTAATATATATATATAGTAATATTATATATTATTATTGTTGTTATTAGAATCAAATATAACTTATGAGTGAATCTACACACACACACACACACATATGTGTATGAAGGCCTTTATATATATACTAAAGAGCGATAAGTATATAGTTCTAGATAACATTTCATACAAACTAAAATACAAGTACAAATTATGGCTATTTGTTTTTAAAGGAAACTTCTTATAACCACAGCGTGACGTCACTGGCACGTGTAAAATAAACCTCGTCAATCCCTGTCACAAGGAACACATCATTTTAATTACGAAGTAAATAAATACAAATTAGCCGTTCAGACTGAAATTATATCGGCGATGTACAACACATTAGGTACTAAATTACGTTATTTTCTGAAATTTTCTTTGAACACAAAAATATATTACTCTACCATATGGCTTTAAGCATCATCTGTTGTAAAATATAATACAGCAGCTGACATTATAATGAGCAACAGGTGAACACCTACCCTAAAAGATCCCCTGAGAGTAGTATTTATAAACTCGAAGCTGCTGTTTTCGCCTCGATCAAGCGTCAGATATAATCGCTCTGACAGTTCATTTGCAACTTGTTTTACATGATGTGTGCTAAACACAGTTCCCTAATGTAAACCCCGCCTGCTGAGATGTGTAGCCACGCCCCTCGCCCTGGTGATTGGAGAAACCATCGCGCTTCCGCCTTTGAATTGTTTTCGCGTTGCTCTGTCATTGAGCGTGCTATCTGTCTGTCAAAGGTTCCCATGGTAACTTGACAAGTACGCTTGTTAGAAGAGGTACGTGGCGTTCACCAGTCCACTGTTACACATACACAGCTCCAAATTCAAAGAGCTGAGTGTCACTGTTATTCACCCTTCTTCAGTGCTCCACAACAAGCCAAACGACACAACTATCACAACAGCTGTTATCACTCAACTGTTATCTTGACAGTGTTGTTTGTAAGGTGGGTCATGACGCTGCATTCCAGAATGTTGAAACTGGAATATATATATATATATATAGCCTAGACGATGTTTGGCTTAGCATTAAAACAAATGGGTAGGAACCACTGATCTATATAAATGACTGATCTATATAAATGAGCCTATAGGTCAGTGGTAGGAACATAATGTTCTTCAAAAATTAATTGTTGTTATTTTCTAGCATATTTGGGCTCAAATAAAACAATCTCATGTATCTATCTATCTATCTAAGATGTTACTTTTAGATAAAAATGGTGAGTTGGTGCCATTTTCCGCCCGTTTTATTTTGATTATTCACTCAGTGTCTCTCCTCCCAGTCTATTAAATGTCTGTATCTCTCAGAAACTATTTAGGATTAAAAGAGCATAATGTATAATATGTGCATAATGCACATATATATATATAAATAGGCTATATATTTAGTTTAAAGCTAGATTAGACAACAGACTACATCTGTGTGTTAGAAAACTGAAACACAGCTCAATATTACACTCAATTCTAGACCAAATCAACAAAAGTTAAATGTGGCTTTTACAATGGTTGCATTGTAGTTTGCTGCTGTATCCTTGTAGTAGATATAATAATGGGAGGGTTTGCTATAAATTATATCCTTATGATTTGCAATGTATAGGCTACATCTAGCCATTAGATGGCACTTAAAGTCTACCAATGAAATACTGCAGCCCCCTTCTAAACATGAGCAGATGTCAAGTGCTTGTCAATGTTTATGTAACTAAACGCAAAGACATATACAAGTTTCTTTTTTAATGCATAAGTTAATCAATTAATTTTTATGACTTTATATCTGTTAACATACACTGCAAAATAGCATTGGATATTTAATCGTAGAAATGACAACCTTAACTAGGATTTCTCTAAGGTTGTTGAAGGTTGTGTTTGCTTTGCTCCAGTCTAATGTTGTTTTGCATTGGTTGCCCCTTACACCGCTGTGTTGTTTGAGCTTGCTGATTTTTTGGCATTTGTTCTTATTTGTTTTGTCTTAAAACTCTGTTTGACTAGTTGTTTTGTGTTTGCAGTTTTAAACAAATAGATCTGTTTTCATATATTCTGAATGACTTTTTTTTTATGTTTATTATGTTTATCTTTTGTAATGTGTTTGACTTTTGCTGATCTTTTTGTTGTTATTTAATTAATTTATTTTACATGCTTTACTTCCAAGGCAATATAGTCAGGAAAATCAGCTTTATTAAGTGCAGACCACCCAATTTAGTTATATCTGCATTTAAAAAAGTCAGAAAGTCCTGCTTCTGTAATATCCTTATTTGCATCCTTATTTGTTCCCACCTTGACTAACTCTGAGCATATGTTGTTCTCATAACCTCCTGAAAACAGCTGCTGTTTAAAGAATCTTATCTACAGATAAAGTCAATAGAGCCATCTGGTGGTTTTTCGTAGATTTAATCTACAAAACAGCAAAGACATTTGAGCAATATAATTAAACTGGCTGTTCCTGTGTCTGGAAATACATGAATGAAATGAATACAAGTATATTAAGTCCTCTAGTGAAAATTCTGTTTGCATATTTCTAATTATATATATATATATATATATATAATGTATATATCTACACACACACACACACACACACACACACACACATATATATATATAATAGACAGTGCAATCCAGTGTCCTAAATGAATTTAAATGAGATGTACAGAGTGAAGTGAGGAAAAAACACTAGGTGGACTAAATATTTTTAAACCTATGTGTTAAGGAACATTTGCAAAAGGCCAAGCAATCAGAGTTAGTCTATGTATGTTGAATACTCCTTTCTCCTTTTATGGCACAGCTTATTATAAGCATCACGTTATATGTGATGCTTGCTTACCAAACCTGTCTGAAGTTTTCACACTACATATTAGAGAGAAGCATCACACCCATTTTAACCCTAGACTAACATGTCTCTATTAGTATAAAGGCATGCGTTCATAAGTTGTTAAAAAAAATCATATTACTACTTACTACACTTTCGGGTGGCTCTAGATCCTCTACTGGAGGGCTCACTTTAGTCTTATCCACAGCAACTGGCAGTGCATCCAAACAAGCCCACAGACACAGTATCAAGCAGAAGTGTGATGGTCCCCACATCTGTGAAAGGACAAGAACATCACCACTGTCATTTCTGATATAGATAACCATCTAGATGGAATTTCTGCATGTGCGTAAATTATCTATTAATTATTATTATTATTAATTATTTATGTTACTTTATGATAGAATTATATCTTAAATGATCTATAAATATATAGTTATCGCTTTAAACAAATATGTAATTTATTATATGTTTTAATAATAATGATAATATTTAATATTATATATTAATATTACTTTTATATTATATTATTAATATATATATATAGTAATATTATATATTATTATTGTTGTTATTAGAATCAAATATAACTTATGAGTGAATCTACACACACACACACACACATATGTGTATGAAGGCCTTTATATATATACTAAAGAGCGATAAGTATATAGTTCTAGATAACATTTCATACAAACTAAAATACAAGTACAAATTATGGCTATTTGTTTTTAAAGGAAACTTCTTATAACCACAGCGTGACGTCACTGGCACGTGTAAAATAAACCTCGTCAATCCCTGTCACAAGGAACACATCATTTTAATTACGATGTAAATAAATACAAATTAGCCGTTCAGACTGAAATTATATCGGCGATGTACAACACATTAGGTACTAAATTACGTTATTTTCTGAAATTTTCTTTGAACACAAAGATATATTACTCTACCATATGGCTTTAAGCATCATCTGTTGTAAAATATAATACAGCAGCTGACATTATAATGAGCAACAGGTGAACACCTACCCTAAAAGATCCCCTGAGAGTAGTATTTATAAACTCGAAGCTGCTGTTTTCGCCTCGATCAAGCGTCAGATATAATCGCTCTGACAGTTCATTTGCAACTTGTTTTACATGATGTGTGCTAAACACAGTTCCCTAATGTAAACCCCGCCTGCTGAGATGTGTAGCCACGCCCCTCACCCTGGTGATTGGAGAAACCATCGCGCTTCCGCCTTTGAATTGTTTTCGCGTTGCTCTGTCATTGAGCGTGCTATCTGTCTGTCAAAGGTTCCCATGGTAACTTGACAAGTACGCTTGTTAGAAGAGGTACGTGGCGTTCACCAGTCCACTGTTACACATACACAGCTCCAAATTCAAAGAGCTGAGTGTCACTGTTATTCACCCTTCTTCAGTGCTCCACAACAAGCCAAACGACACAACTATCACAACAGCTGTTATCACTCAACTGTTATCTTGACAGTGTTGTTTGTAAGGTGGGTCATGACGCTGCATTCCAGAATGTTGAAACTGGAATATATATATATATATAGCCTAGACGATGTTTGGCTTAGCATTAAAACAAATGGGTAGGAACCACTGATCTATATAAATGACTGATCTATATAAATGAGCCTATAGGTCAGTGGTAGGAACATAATGTTCTTCAAAAATTAATTGTTGTTATTTTCTAGCATATTTGGGCTCAAATAAAACAATCTCATGTATCTATCTATCTATCTATCTATCTATCTATCTAAGATGTTACTTTTAGATAAAAATGGTGAGTTGGTGCCATTTTCCGCCCGTTTTATTTTGATTATTCACTCAGTGTCTCTCCTCCCAGTCTATTAAATGTCTGTATCTCTCAGAAACTATTTAGGATTAAAAGAGCATAATGCATAATATGTGCATAATGCACACATATATATATATATATAAATAGGCTATATATTTAGTTTAAAGCTAGATTAGACAACAGACTACATCTGTGTGTTAGAAAACTGAAACACAGCTCAATATTACACTCAATTCTAGACCAAATCAACAAAAGTTAAATGTGGCTTTTACAATGGTTGCATTGTAGTTTGCTGCTGTATCCTTGTAGTAGATATACTTATGGGAAGGTTTGCTATGAATTATATCCTTATGATTTGCAATGTATAGGCTACATCTAGCCATTAGATGGCACTTAAAGTCTACCAATGAAATACTGCAGCCCCCTTCTAAACATGAGCAGATGTCAAGTGCTTGTCAATGTTTATGTAACTAAACGCAAAGACATATACAAGTTTCTTTTTTAATGCATAAGTTAATCAATTAATTTTTATGACTTTATATCTGTTAACATACACTGCAAAATAGCATTGGATATTTAATCGTAGAAATGACAACCTTAACTAGGATTTCTCTAAGGTTGTTGAAGGTTGTGTTTGCTTTGCTCCAGTCTAATGTTGTTTTGCATTGGTTGCCCCTTACACCGCTGTGTTGTTTGAGCTTGCTGATTTTTTGGCATTTGTTCTTATTTGTTTTGTCTTAAAACTCTGTTTGACTAGTTGTTTTGTGTTTGCAGTTTTAAACAAATAGATCTGTTTTCATATATTCTGAATGACTTTTTTTTTATGTTTATTATGTTTATCTTTTGTAATGTGTTTGACTTTTGCTGATCTTTTTGTTGTTATTTAATTAATTTATTTTACATGCTTTACTTCCAAGGCAATATAGTCAGGAAAATCAGCTTTATTAAGTGCAGACCACCCAATTTAGTTATATCTGCATTTAAAAAAGTCAGAAAGTCCTGCTTCTGTAATATCCTTATTTGCATCCTTATTTGTTCCCA